ACACGCATACTTTCACCTGGTTTGTTTTATGTTTTGTTAAGAGTTATACGGCAACACAATTAGTTCATATTGTTATAATAAGCGCCGAAGATTAGAGGCGTTACAAGAGTAGCAAACATTTTAAAAAATGGAACGATGTTTGATAGGAAAAACGGGGCAAACCACACAAAAGCACCTGCCAACAAGCCACTCACCTCGTTTATTGGAGTCGATCGACATGTCCACTTTTTTGGTGGTGGTTTCTGGGGTATTGGTGCTTAACGTCTGTTTGGGAAGGGGCAACGGAGGGTGTCAGTATCGTGTGGAGTTGTCGTTTGTGTCGTGGTGGTTACTGTTGCCAGGGTTGTTATTGCAGTTGCTGTTTGTTGCTGTTGTTATTATTGTTGTTTTGTTGCTGTTGTTGTTGTTGTTGGTGGTGGTGTTGTTGTTGTTGGTGGTGGCGATGGTGGTGGTGGTGGTGGTGGTGGTTGTGGTGGTAGTGGTAGTGGTAGTGGTGTTCTGTTTGTTTGTTGTTTGTTTTTTTGTTACTGGTGGTTTATCTGACACTGATGTTTGATTGCGAAGATCAAACTGCATGGTGAAAGAGTTGTTCATCATAATGACAGACCTGCACCCTCTCGGGGAAGCAGAAGCAGAAATAGGGGAGGCTGGTGGCTACAAAAACGGCGAAGAGGAAGTAGGTGGGGGGAAGAAAAGCAGGAAGATGAAGAGCGAGAAGGGGAGAGTATAGGTATGGACGAAAATGAGGAGAAAGGGGGGGGGGAGCAGGAAGATAAGGAGTTAGAGGGGGGAGAGTATGGATAGGGACGAAAATGAGGAGAGTGGGAGGAGGAAAAGCAGAAGGTTGAGAAGGGAGAGAAAGAGGACGTAGAGAAAGACGAAAATGAGGAAAGGGTAACTTCTGTGACCGAAGAAACAACATCCATGTCTTTGCAATTGTTTATGAAACACACACAAACACACACACACACACACACACACACACACACACACACACACACACACACAGACACACACACACACACACACAATAGAACCATAACCAGGCCACAATATTCTTAACCGTTGGAGTTGCAGAAGTGGTGGTCACTGTTGAGGTGATCGCTTTTGCCGTGGTCAGTTTGTAGCCTGGACAGATGCGGAACCGTCCTGAGCATCCACCCCATACACGGGCATACAACCCAAAGAATGTCCACTTCTTTTTCGTGAAGAGTCCAGAGCCTTCAGTGCATGAACCACCTTTGAGGTCCTAAGAGACAGGAAAAGATGATGACATATGATTATATTATTTCCTTTTTTCCTTTCCCTTTTTTCGGGGGAGGGGGGGGGGGCTTCTTGGGTGCCGAGTTAAATTGTGAGCCTAAACCAACTAATCGCTGGGCCATTAGAAGATGAGAGAGGGTGGCTTTAGAGAAACAAATACAGGAACTGCCCCATTAGAGGTTTAAATCTCAAATGTATCAATTTTGACGGTGAGAGAGGAGAAATAGGAAAAGATTTGGGTAAGAGTAGGCTACGTATATTAAAGCCTTTGCAACGTTTTGCAGGTTATTCAAAATGAAGGAATTTCAAAACGATGACTACGTTCATTTTTAAGGTTGAACTAAAAGACATAAGATTTCTACTCATTTCTATGTCTAAGTGATTGCAAAATATTTTAGGGCGACATAAATACAAACATAATGATTTCGATGGTAATCCGAAAATAGAAAGTGAGATAATGATTAATATGCTGTACTGTGTGAGCATAAACACGCTGTAATGCTATAGGCCTTTCCAGGTGGGTGCACGGTTTAGTCCTAAACACTGTGTCAAACTGGGCTATGTTGCAGATACAAAAGTACTCATAGTTGGAATCGCCGAAGGACATAGGGGCGTTCTTGGGCTTGGGTTGTGTGGCTCACAAGGAGATTAAAAGTTCTAAACTCTTTGGTGGCTCACCATATTATAGGTGTATTGGGTTTCGTCCATTTAGAGAATGTCACATTCGGAGGTTTTGCTCCGTAAATAATATTTTAATATTACAGTGTAGAAAGGGAGGTTTCAACCCTTACAATATCTAATAATTATTTACAACTGTTCTACATTTTTTATGGGGCTTTGTACCCTTACCGCCGCACCTTTTAAAAATAAATTCTCACCCCCCCCCCCCTTCTCCCAGCATTCAGCATCTCCTGTTAACAGTTCCTCCTCCGCCACCCTTCTTTCTCTTTCGTCATTGGCTTATTGATATTTTTGTAATGCAAAGTTGAAAACAAATGTTATGAATTCACATTTAGAGAGACTCGAGTTCATGGGGGAAACCAAAGCTCGCGTCTCTTACCGTGAACAGTTTACTACAAAACCGAGTACTCGACAGCTGTCAGGGCCAATCCGGGCTGTAAGGGATACATTCCAGCAGAAAGACTGAGCCACTCTTCCCCACCTGGGAATCAAACTCGGATCACCTGCGTGCGACAGGGAAACGTCTAACCACTACACCACAGACGCCGGTACAGACATAGTACACATACCAACTTTACCGAGAGTTCAGTTATTGATTAGATAAAAGAAACTATAATGTGATAGATAGATGAAACCTCCTGCACTTTAATGGAAACTGGAATAAATATTCCTTCAAAGCTGTATTGTTTATTATTTTCCATTGGTGGGGATAGACTTTTGTGCCTGTTTATAATGAATTAGCTTTGATTAACCCTTTATTAGGAAACAAATATGTTCGTTCTGTATGACACTGTTTATGCGTGTGTGTGTGTGTGTGTGTGTGTGTGTGTGTGTGTGT